GATATACAATAAGTATCATGAATTTATGTCGGTTAAATGGTGCTGTGTCTTCTTTGCTGCTTGTTATTGTCGAACAGGGGAGGAAACTATCAGACATTGCGAGGGGAAATATAATAGTAACCGTCCCAACAACCCATTCATGAGTTAGCAACGAAAGAATGTGTGACACACATAAACGTTTGTTGGCTGGCAGCAACAGAGTCAACACAGACAGCCCTCTCTCCACGCCGTCACGAACGTACTCCTCCTAGGATCCGTCAACTTCTCCTCTAGAAGATGTTTGAAGGTAAAACATGACACTCTTCAGCATTAGTGGTTTAATTCCACTCTTAATCCTTTTATTTATTAGTTGGATTACTTGCCATCCATCCATGAGTTTGATAAAACGAAAGGAAAATCGGTTAGTCTACTGTGGAAAAGTTCGTTTACCTAATCGATAAATTTAAAGAAACTGTTAACGCACGGTAGATTAAAGAATATTCCACGATTGACCCCACCACCCTTATTTGAACAGTAGGCCCAGCCAAGTGCTATATGTTTCAGTCTTTGAAATTTTATATAAATTAAATTTGGGGGTTATATATCATTCCTTATTTCCAAACTTCTATGTCATACTTAAAATTTTTATATTATCCCTAACACAATTTTAACCTATTACTTAACGAAACCTTATTTAACATTTAAAATTGTTCTGACAATATAAAAATATCTTATATCTTTTTTAAGTTTAAACAAATCAAATCATACTCCAAATTTTGAAGAAAACAACTTGCCTTTTATCAACTAACTCATACCTACAACCCAAACAGCCTTCAAAATATGAAATTTTTTTCTACTTCCCTATAATTCGTTTTAACCCCACTTCCAAATTTTATTAATAATTAAAGTAATTCGTACATGTTCTACATGTCTAATAAGTATCCGCCAAACCTTTATTCAAAATGTAATATGTTATTAACTATTATTTTTTAATTCATATAAATGCATAGAACATAATTCTTACGCAACTAAATCCGTATTTTACTTCCCTTTAAAATATCAACAAAACATTCAATAAAACATTATGTCACGAAAATTTTTATACAATTTTTTTGTTTTTTTTTTTACTACCTAAAAGTGAAATATAATATATAAAATAATGAATACACCCACCCTTTTTTTTATCAATACTAACGTTATATTACAAAACCACAACCCGTTTTGGGCGATTGTGTCTTGCTTGTCTTGCAGAAGCATTCCAACACTGAGTCGGTGCAGAGCAGTGCCTGAGGTGACACTCGTAACCTCTAAACAACCAAACGCTTCTCATGTGGTGTTAAGGGATTTCTGAAGATTACCAAGGAAGGCTCATTGGAATCAAGACAAGTGGCCCACCTGTCCCTCTTCTGGCTACACCCATGTCCAAACAGCTTAAATTCCTACACACACGACTGTCTTCGGCTAACAAACTCTTCCTCGTTTTGCGCATAAACATCGCTTTGTGCCCGACTTTGACTCAGACTGACTCCTAACCAACCATGTGGGCCAATTTTTACCCACTTGATGAGGTGCATGAGTGCCCCTGTCCTCACTTAGCCTCTCTTACCAATTATGGTCCTTCTCTCTTTTTTCCTTACAAGACATCACAGTACCTTCCTACTTTTCTACACCTACAACATTATATTACCCTTATTTCGATTAATCCTCCTGGCTTCGGATCAACTTACTCTCTTGGATTACTCCCTCAATAATATTCATTCACACCTAATCCACCTATCTCTTTCTTTGCTTTAATTTTCAACTTTGTTTCTTACCTTTAATTTTTACCCTTAAAACATCCTCAGATTGGAATTTTTCCAACCAAATCTTTATTAATATTATTTATAATCTAATAAACTATGCGCGCGTTACTTTTAACTATTTGACCGCATTTCTTTTCAATATTATTTAAAAACTCTATTTCTAAACGCTCAAATAAAATCTAAATAAAATATGCCCTTAAAAAAAACCGAAAGTCACCAAAGAGGAAAATTAAATTCTCGACCAAACGGGGAAAATAAAGGAAGGCGAGAGAAGAGACGTGCACCCGGGGATCGGTAGAGGTTGACATTCAAATTCCGCCCGCGCATGGATACGTCTGGATAACCCACAACAGTAACACCCTAGGTATGACCGCGCATCAACAACGCGACTCACGATAACATGGTGTGGTATGGTATACATCGTATGAGATCAGACTAAGACGAAAACTGGTAGACCACAGGGATCAGACCAGTGATTATTAGGTCAGCCAGGTGCGGTATCTACAGGCGGTACAATTATGAACTCACGTCAGGCGTCGTCGCCCTGTGAATCATACATCAAAACACTCCTGTAGTAGGGGGGGGGGGAGAAGTCGGTGTGTTTGTCTCTCGTCACGACGTAAACTACCCACAATATAATAGGGGACAATAATTGTATCACTGGACTATCGGCTCAGTAATGTCTGGGGGGGGGGGAAGACCAAACTCACAAAACGTGGTGGCCAGTAGACTATCCGCAACGTCTGAATTATTAGGGTGTGACACCACGCCAAAAAAAAAAGATGGATTCTGACAGAACAAGTGTTGCACCCAAAATAGGAATAACTCGCTGAATAACACATCAGCCGCGGCGTAGATTATGTAAGGGCATACGACGCATGGTGCGAGCGCGTGCAAATATAAAACACACCTGACTGGTGTGGGAATAATAAACGCTGTTTCGACGACAGTCTACCTAAGCCTGACAGCCGAATCATTCGGTGTCACAGTACAGAGCAGTGATCATAGCACACGACTCAATCTGTATTATACAGCTTGGACTCCAAGTGCACCAATAACCTCTATAAAAGCGTAAAAACAGGGAAGTCCAAAAAAAAAGAGGAGGGGGAGGCAACAGAAACGAGGGAAAGGGAGGGGAAAAGGCAAGAAAAGCGGAAGACGAAAAGGAAGGGAGAGGAGAAAAGGGGAAGGAACGGGGGAGAAAAAGGGGGGGGGTAGTATGCTTTTGCACGGGGAGCACAAGACAGGAAGGGGATTGCAATATGTCAAGCAATTGCTCCAAAATTCGGTTCCACGTGGGAATCACAGCCAGAGATGAAAAGAGGGCGGTTTTGAAGCTGTGGAGAAACCTCAAAGAACTCGAGGGGTCATCCTGGCCATGTGCTTTTTCACTCAACTCTGATTTACTGATCCCAAAGGATACCAACCATCGCTGGCAGATTTCCTCAAAAACTCAGGTGAGAAACGGACCCCATCTTGTCCGACAAAAAACTTCTCGACTTTTTTGGATTGCTCTGGACATCATTTTTTTGTTTTTGGTGTCAGGGGTGTTGCGCGCGCGCGTCGCTTCTTGTGGTTGTGTTTGTTTTTTTTTTTTTTTGTGTCACACTCATCAACCTTGTTCTAAACTCTTGACTAGACATACACTAACCTACAACCATATTGGAAACATGGAACCCTGTCGTAGGTAAAACAATGCTCTGGAATTCTGGAGCACCATGTGGGGACGGCGTGAAGTGCTTTTGTCTGCCTGCTGGATTGGTCATGAATTCGTATTTCCCCCAGCTTTGACAGTTTCTCACAGCAAATTGTTTAGTGTTGGAAATGGAATTAGTGTATTTGTTAGGGCAAAGAGCATTATAGCGGCATTATGTTCTAGTGTTCACAACTGTAGCCGATAATCATGTTAATTTTTGTGAATTATTTTCCCCATATATGTGTAAAGAAAGAGATTGATGAAGTGTTCATAACTTGAATCAAGCATTAAAAACTTAACATCATGGCTTGCATTTATAGATGTTTCCCTTAATCAATTCATCAAAGAAATCAGGTTATTGTTGAGTTGTTTGGTGCAGGAAAATGCCTGATCGTTTGATTGGAGTAAAATAGTGACTGAAACCTATGAATTAGCTGAAGCAGGTCTT